ATATATATATATATATATATATATATATATATATATATATATATATATATATATATATATATATATATATATATATATATATATATATATATATATATATATATATATATATATATATATATATATATATATATGGAGATAGCCACCACATGCTTAATATGTTCCATTTATCAGAGTTGTAACTTGTTACACACTACCAATACAATGATCACTAGGGGAATGAAGAAATAATGAAGCAGGCACAACTAGAGCCGTTGTTATGATAGCAACTTGACAGCAGCTTCGCCATCCATTATTATTACCAAGTGATCTTCACTTTGTATCTCCATGTTCTTTCCCCATAGGAAAAGATACAATCCCAGTATGATTAGAGACATCCCAATCAAGCTGCAATTATATATATACATACATATTTTCACACTATTTAATGTCAAATCAAAAGTGGTATTAAATATTTCACGCGCTAGATCAGATCATTAGTATATACTCCATCCATTCCACAATAACTGTTTAATCTATTAAGGATTATTAGAAATATAAATAATTAGATTTTGAATTAATGTACAATTAAATATGTAAACATTCATTCAAAATTTAATGTATCTAATAAACCTTAATAGACAGTTATTGTAGAATGAAGAGAGTATGTAATATGAAAATTGAAAGGAATCTCACTCAAACTCAAGCTCGGCTAGTTTTTTTGTAAAAACAAGTCGAGCTCAATTTGGTACACGGTTTATAAACGAGCCAAAATTAGCTCGACCGAAAAACTAAACTAGAAATTAACACTCAACTAGAAAATAAAACTTTGACATACACAGACTATGTATGTCATTTAATTATAGTGAATAATTACCACTTGAGCTTGAGCTTCAAAGCTCAAAGGAGTTCAGCTTGAGCTTTACTTTAAACTCGAAACATTAACAAGTTGAGCTCGATCGAGCCGAGCTTCAGTGCATGGTAGGCCCCGTTTGGCAACAGCGTTAGAATTTAACGTTAGCGTTATGAAAAAGAGATCTAAGGGTAGCTTTTCGTTTTAGCGTTTTCAAAATTAATCTACAAAATTAAATTTGTTTTATCCAAAATACTAACGGTAATCGAAAACGGTTAGGCCATTTTATCCTTCCTTATTAAACAATTCTATAAAAACAAAGAAAAAACCTATGGGTACACCAAGACAGGGTACCACATTTGTACACGCGGCAAACAAAGAGAAATACAAACACTTCTGTAAATCACAGATACAAAGTGTTTGTGTTTGTCTGTGGTGTACAAATGGGGTACCCCATTTTGGTATGCCCAAAGAACAAAAGGAGCCACATTAATTTACCATTAAACTTCATATATATACGGAGTTACCTTCCAAGGGAGATTCCAGCGCCAAAGAAAACGAGTTCAGTGATTGCCACCATGATCAAACATAATGGATTGAACATTGAAGGATAAGTGGGCCCTTTTTTTGCAATAGCCCAAGAGATTAAGCAAAAGGTTGCTCCCGTTGCTAATGCGCCCTACATACATATTGCACAACTCATCTCTCTTAATCACCTTACTTTAATTACTAATACTGCTGGAGTATATACATTTTTCCCTTCAAACCTCAGATAAACTAGTGTTTATGACTAAAATGAAATTAGTGGTAATTGTAACACCAATTTAGAGATTAGAATAATTGACTGGGTAAATTTTACCAATGGTACCTGAACTTTAGCTGGAATTTCGAAGTGGTACCTAAACTTCAAATCCTTTCAAAAAAATCCCTGAACTTACACAATCCTTTCACTAATACTCTCTTTACTCGTTTCTAGGTTAACTTCCAGTCATTTGAGCCAAATTAGAATTTTATATATTTTAAAATTTTCAATTTGACCCAATTTCTTCTTTTCTTCCGCGCCCCGCTGCCAGTCAAAGTCGCCGGAAACTGAACTTGGTCTGATTCCATCGGGACCAACGCCATTCTCTTCGTTTTGAGACAAGGATCAAGAACATCCAAACCATTTTGTCCAATTTGGCCTGTAACTCTTCGAATTTGAATTTTTTCACTCGAAAAAACCCTAAAATCCGAAATTGGGTCCAAAATTGGGGGTTTTGCAAAACATCATCAAATCTTGTAATTGAGGTGTCCTTGGAGGTCGCCGTGATGCCACAAACAGATTGGAGTGGATGAACGACGTTAATTTCACCGGGTTTCGCCGGAAAACGCTCCGACCCGCCGGAAACCGCCGGCGGGTCGGAGCGTTTTCCGGCTAACTCCGGCGGAATGGACGCCGGTCATCCACTCCAATGTGTTCGTGGCATCACGGCGACCTCAAAGAACCCCTCAATTGCAAGATTTGATGACGATTTGCAAAACCCCCAATTTTGGACCCAATTTCGAATTTTAGGGTTTTTTCGAGTGAAAAAATTTAAATTCGAGGAGTTACAGGCCAAATTGGACAAAATGGTTTGGATATGCTTGATCCTCGTCTCAAGACGAAGAGAATGGCGTTTGTCCTGCCGGAATCGGACCAAGTTCATTTTCCGGCGACTTTGACCGGCGGCGGGGCGCGGAAGAAAAGAAAAGAAGAAATGTGGTCAAATTGAAAATTTTAAAATATATAAAATTCTAATTTGGCCCAAATGACCGGAAGTTAACCTAGAAACGTGTAAATGGACTATTAGTGAAAGGATTGTGTAAGCTCAGTGATTTTTTTTGAAAGGATTTGAAACTTAGGTACCACTTCGGAATTTCAGCTAAAGTTGAGGTACCATTGGTGAAATTTACTCATAATTGACTAATAATACTTACAGAGTAAAAAATGGTGATTAGTTGCAAATTCCATCCGAGAGCCCAGGACGCCATTCTTCTATCAATGCATAAACCGATTACCATGCTTTGAAAGGAGGCGGTTATGCATATGAGCAAGTTTGCCGAATATGTGTGTGGGTATATCTTGTACAGTTTAAACTGCCAAAAAATAAAAAAATCAATAATCAAGGCCACGAGTTAATTAGGATCCTTATTTGTCGTGCGCTAAAAATTGAAAATATGAAATTGAAATTGAAATTTCGTTCTTATTCGACTCCCACCAAACTCAATTTTTTGTTCCAACATAGACACAAGTGTCGTCTACGAGACATTCATAAAGAACATATAAACTGCACTTATTTGTGTGAACTTCTTTTTGCAGAGTGGCAAAAATGCAAAATGAGAATGTCTAACACACTTTTATTTGTTTTCAATTCTTAGAATGCATCAAGTCAAAATGAGACTTATATTAAGACGGAGTACTATTTTTTTTCTTTCTTTCAAAGAGAGTATATTACTGAATAATCTTATCACAGTTTTGAAAATACGAAAATGTGAAATATTTTTAGGTGGAGAGGGAGTACACCATCCAGAAGAAGTTGATCTAGATAGTGTTTAATTATTAATTACCTGTGCAATGAACCAAAAACCATATCCCAAGCAACTGCTGACTAGAAATATAGTGCCGCGTGTCCAATTCGGCGTCATACCATCAATCAAATGGAATAAAAGATTCTTCGAGTTGTCGGCCACATTCCTTAGGTAGAACATTTTTCCGGTGTACATTGCAGTACTTAACGCTCCCACAAGGCAAAGCGTTGCTCCCATGACCATAATTTTCCCATCCTTGGCATTAAGTCGTAGCTTTTCTACACTTTATTTATCACCCGCCATTAGCTCACATACATTCACAAAATTATTCCAGATTACACTTTATTTTCTATTAATAATTCTCATGTCTCACATTATCTTAAATATACTTCAAAGTACTATTGATTTTTTGATAGGAAACTCTCAGGTCCCACAATATCCAAAAATACTCCAGAAGTTTTAAAATTTGTGATAATGTACTCCGCTGGTATACTCCATCTATTTGGCTGTTATGATTAAAAGTTCTATTACTTTGATAAATACTAAGTTTTAAATTGATATTCATTATTTTATTAAATTTAAATAACATTCTTTAATTTGTCAAAGTAAAAGAACATTGAATATGATATGATGCCTAAATTGAGAAAATGTACCCTCTGAGTAAAATATCAAAATGTTAAGGATCGGAAGTATATTTCGGATAATTTGAGACTTTGAAAGTTCTTATAAAAATCAAGGATATTCTAAAATATATTTTAGATAATGTGGGACCTGAAAGTTATTATTAGAAAATTGAGGGTACCCAGAAGTAATATTTTGTACATATAATACTCTCTCCCTCCCAAATTAAGTTGTCTATTTACTATTCACATGATCAAACTTCATTTATTTTCTTTCTATATTTTTGTTTACTCATTTGATAACATTATATAGTCATGTCACCTCTTGTTTTGCAAAATTTTTGATGTAGTGTTTTAATATGTAAAGTTTATTTTTCAACTCCTCTCCAATTCATTAATAAATTATATTAAAAAATAACTTCAGTCAAACATTGTAAACCGAAACAAAGAATTTAAATTGGGACAGAGAGAGTATGAGTAGTACAAATATACAATACTTATACGTCATATATATGTTAGAAATATTATTTTGGGAGAAAATATTCTCTTGTATTTCTAGAAAGGTAAATTATATGGAGAACCTACACATGAGTAAAATAAGCATTTCTTTAATACTTATATAATTATTTCTTTTTCTAAATAAAAAAAATTTATGTGAGAAGGACCAAAAAAATGATATGCACCCCAGGTACACCTTTGAAACACTATTCTAGAAAATAAGACATATACGATGGGCATATGCAATACTCATATGGCAGACATATATTGCATAAAATATACAATACTTACATGGGAGACATATATGATAGAAATACTATTCGGAGAAAATATTTTCTTTGTATTCCTGGAGGAACCGCTAGACCCGAAAGAAGACATATATAACACAAAGAGGCTTTGAAGAAGTAGGAAAACACTAGCCTGGAAATTAGCTAGGGGTCACAGGAATATGAAAAAAGAATGATACAGATGGGCGGGTGGCAAGACACAGAGGGGAGCAAAAATTTGTAGCACGCAAGAGGATGATGAACATGCATGCAATGCTCGAGGTACGATGACAATGCTCGTCGCTTTGGGCCGCACCGAGCTAGCTGGCTGACTTGTGTTTAACTTCCATCCACTTCGCCTTGAGCTCTTCTCAACCTGGGAAGTGATCGAGGGACTTATGAGATAGATACCCTGGACGAGGGGGCATTTGGATCAGAGGAGTAACCGGAGCCCGTAAGAGATACCGGGCTGGGCCAATTACATAGGATATGCACCCCAAAGAGCGGGTTCTTGGCTTGGTCTGGGCGCCAATGAAATCAACGTAAGGCTTTGAGATTCTTACAAGAATAATGATATTCCTAGGGAGTGGATAGATGAATCTCATTCTCAACCGATGATGAGAGATGTGTATGTAACGTTATTTACCAAGTAGTTTGTTGGGCCTTTAAAATAGCAAGTAGTTTGCCCTTTCTTGTGGAAAGAATTGGACAATGTTCTAGGTTGTTAGGTCATTACCTTAGCCAATAAAATGAGCTAAACTACCTTTCAAAATAATACGGAGTATTGAGTTAACTTGAAATGATTGTTTAATAATACTAGAGGGATCTTAGTGCTTGGTAAAGAAGGAATGAGAGCAGAAATATTCAAAGAATAAAGAAAGGTTTGGAATGAAGTGAGGGCAATCTCGCTATAGAAGATATGAGCTCAATCCAATGGGTGAGAAATGAGCTTGAATTGTCATTTACATCTATGCATTGGACAACCCAGTTTCTTAGTATTTAATGTGAGCTATTTGTCACCCCTAGTTAACAAAACAACCATAGTTCAAATTTTTTAACCCTAACGCTTAAGTGGTTCTACCATGAGTGATTGCATAAACCTAATGGAATCAATTTGAAATATGTCCGTAATAAAATTTGACGGTTAAGAAAGTCAAAATATGAACTTTAGTTTGAGATAGTGATAGTAATAAATGTTGAATAATGGATTAATGTGTTTACTCAATGAAGTAAAGAGTAAAGAGGAGAGTGTATATATGATACGAGCTCGTATCGGATAGGAAAGACTCAGAGCATATTCAAACTCTTGAGAATATGGGACGAGGAAGAAGAAGAATTGAGGCGAAGGAGGGAATCGGCGAACCGAGGGAGGAAGGGAATTAGGGTTTGATTTGTTTATTGATTGATTAACTCTAAATGGAGTTACATCTCTTTATATAGGAAAGAAGGAAACCCTAACGCTAACCTGACGGTTCAATAAAAGCGACGAGGGAAAGAACCGTAAAGAAACCTCGAAGGAGCTTATAATTTCGCTCACCTAATAAAATCTACATTACAATAATAATAATACTATTAAATATCCTACTCTACCATCTATAACACTCTCACCCCCTTAGAAAACCACATTGTCCTCAAGGTGGAGGCTCCCACTCATGCTTCGAGACTGGAGAGAAAATGTTGACCCAAAGATTATGCCCACTTGATGATAGATGTTCATTAAGCTTTCAAATTGGAGTATAGTGATGGACATAAGAGAGAAGAGCAAATACAAACTTAGCTAGCGGCGGTGAAACCCAATACTCAGACTCCACTATATTCGCATGGGCAGAGGACTGGATGATATCAAATGACAGTGAGATGGCCGCTTACGTATAATTTACATATGCTACTTGGGCTGTTTTGGATGAAGGCACAAGGCTACACGCAATGATGACATTGCTCAATGTTGGATCCTTGGCAACTTCTCCCTTACCCGGTGCGTCGACGTGTGTATCAACAGTGACAAGATCCGATGGAAAAGCATTAACAATACCTTCAACAGAAACACCATCAGCATCAACTGCAGAAACTCTCATTGAATCCTCAACCATACGCTCCACAGATTCCATGTTAGTAGATGTAGGATTGTGTAGAGTGGTTGTGGGGACCAAATCAGGTGGAGCAATGGGAATGCCAAGAAGATTCCTTATAGTGTTCATCATCCTTATTTTGAAACTTTTTAACTCCAAGGGAATATCACTCAATGCCATTGGAGTACCACGCACCAAATCTTGTATCGAGCAAGAGATTTCCACATTGAATGCATATAACTCAGAATCAGAATACGGTAGATCTAAAAGATGACGAAATAAGTGGAGCGTCTTCAAAATTTCATCCATATGATCATAAGCTATACAGACTCCGTCATGAAACTCAATTCTTCCATAAAAGATATTCTTCAACACACCAAGAAGTTTGTTCAAAGCATCGTTCATGGTCACAATAATTTTATCCAAAATTGAGACCATAGTTGTGGCAAGATCGATCCAAAAAAAACAATGAAAAAGCAATGCACTTCAGGGAGGAACAGTACTCTTACATACGGCAAAACATGTAGCCTTCAAATTGGGAATTCTTTTGGCTATTCGTCGATTGGGGCCTTTTGATTTTTTTTGGATCGACAGTATATTGGGGCTTCACCCTCTCCCCAACTTTGCTAATTTTGTGAGGGACGGTGTTTCCTCATCCAAGATTTCTTCCGGCGGTAACAATGAGAAAAAAAACTGGCGGCGTAAATTGATCTATTCGGCCGTTAACAGGGCTGCAATTTTTTTTTTTGGTTTTTGGGTGTTCCTCTCAACAAGAGCACCAATGATACGAACTCGTATCGGATAGGAAAGACTCAGAGCATCTTCGAACTCTTGAGAATATGGGACGAGGAAGAAGAAGAATTGAGGCGAAGGAGGGAATCAGCGAACCGAGGGAGGAAGGGAATTAGGGTTTGATTTGTTTATTGATTGATTAACTCTAAATGGGGTTACATCTCTTTATATAGGAAAGAAGGAAACCCCTAACGCTAACCTGACGGTTCAATAAAAGCGACGAGGGAAAGAACCGTAAAGAAACCTCGAAGGAGCTTATAATTTCGCTCACCTAATAAAATCTACATTACAATAATAATAATAATACTATTAAATATCCTACTCTACCATCCATAACAATATATATAGGAAAAGATTCATTCTAATATATTTAGGACTCAACTTAATATAGAAATCAACTATTATAAGAATACTACCATAATAAGGATTATTATTAGTAGTGTCTAACATTCCCCTTGAAGTTGAATGTCGTGAAATGAGAGGAAGCTTAGAAACAAAAAAAAGCGTAGCATGGGGAAGGCAGTTTCTTTGTGAGCATATAAGCAAGTTGATTTTTAGACAAAACATGAGAGACAATCAAAGTTTCAGCAATAACATGTGTTAGTCTTGGTTTGCCAAAGCCTCGTGTTTTGATGTTAGCAAATAATATAAGACTTAACATTTGTTTAAGTGTTTCAGGTACAACAAGAATCCATTAAGGTTTGGTTCTAAAGAATGAAGTCAAAACACTAAACTAGCGTAGAATATAGGTTAAAACCATTGTAAGGATGTTATTTTATATATATACATACATATATATTTACAAGCTCAAAAGCACTCACAGAATATGTTTAAAACCTTCTTATAATCATTTTCAAGCATCCAAAAGATTTTAAACAAAATTAGAAATGATTTGGTCAAAAATGTAACACCATTTTGTTTAAGTGTATGTGAATAAGACTTTTGATGGAGAACACTCAAACTCTCTAAAAATAAGCCAAACTTTTATTTTACATATTCACGACCATTATCAATCCAAAATTTTTAAATTTGAGTATGAAGCTTATTTTGGACCATATATTGAAAACAATGAAACACATCATAAGCTTCAGACTTATGTTTAAGAGAATACAACCAACAAAAATTGTTAAATTCATCAGTAAAATTAATAAAGAAATGGTATCCCCCAAAAGAGGGGAAATCCTGAATTGTAAAATTCTTTGAAGTAAAAAGAAGTTTATGAATATTATCTTTGGTAAATTGGTGAAAAGATAAAAGGTGAAATTTAAGGGAAGGGGCAAGAAGAAGATTATTCATGTGAAAAATGCATGTGGATGTGGCTAAGTTACCTAAGCCCATGTGGGATATTGCGAAAGTGTTACCTCTAGCACTTGTGATATAATTGGTTCTTTGATATGGTGAGGAGTGCTGCAACCTAGACAAATCAAAGGTCACGTGAGTGTCTGCTCTGGTATTCAGATGCTAAATCTAACTTGGTTCATTCCTTTGATTTGTAAAGTATGCCTATGGAGGTCTATATTATGACTTATCATAGCGATGCCTGAAATTCCACGCAGCGTGACTTGTCTTCCCACAAAGTTTGCAAATAAGTTGACTACCACGAGGACCACCTTGATTGCGGGTATTGGCATCTCTACAAGACGAGGTGCGTTGATTGTCAAGCCAGTCATCCCTGTTAGAAGAGTGTTGCCACCAACCTCCCCTATTCCCAAAGTTAGGACCTCCTCAGCCCCGAACTAGGCCGTCTCAGCCCCGATCACTATTTTCGTAGCCGCCACTATGAAATTGGTAATAAGGACGTTATGGACATCGGCCGAGGGGGATGCCTCACCATGATGCAAATTTTGTTCAATCTGAACATTCTATTCCTCAGACAAACCATGATGAAACTTTATTGGAGGTTAAAGATCCAATATTTTTCTAAATGTTCAAATTAAGAGAAGCATATTGTGATGGGAGGCCATGTAAAACACATAGAATGATATCTTGTTCAGACATACTCTCACGAGAAAGATTGAGGGATGCCACAATACCAAGGGCTTTATCAAGATACACTTTACCCTTCCATAGGCTTGAAGGCGATCTTTAATTGAAAAATATGATTCCGAGACAATGATTATACCTCTGTTACAGATGAGTCCATATGTCAACTAAGGATAAGAGAAAGTGAATATGAGCTTGTACCGTAGGAGAGACGATAACGAGAACACACGCTCGGATTTAAGCATCAATGATCTTCAATGTTTCATAGGCAGGGTTGGCCCTCAATTGAGGTGGGGAATCTTTTTTGCCAGTGCAGGTTCTTTTTCATCAAGAATAAACGCTGGCGACACTACTTTTGTACCATCAACATAGCCGAATAGGCGATGTGCCATCTGGTACACTTGGAGATTCAGGACAAATATTTTAAATCTGGTGGGAAGACGATCTATAGGATCAGTAGAGGGAGGCACCATGGACAATGTTGAAGACAAACAACCCTAGCTGACAATGTTCTCCGATTGTTTTTGGTTTGTTGGAAGATGTGGAAAACAAAAGAGATCGTAAGCTTCGATACCATGTTGAATAATGGAATAATTTATATATACAAGGAAATGAGGAGTATACAAGATAGTATATATATGAAGAGATCCTCACATAATTAGGGATTAACCTAATGTAAAAACTAACTACTACTCTCTCCGTTCTCAAAAACACTTCCTCTTTCATTTTTTCCACTTCCAACAAAACACTTCCCCTTTCTATTAAAAAACCATTTTTACCCTTACTTTTTCATACCCTAACTATCACATCATACTTTTTCTCTAATAATCTATCTATCCATCACATCTTACTTTTACCTATCACATCAGGGGCAAAATTGGAAATCAACTATAATTTAACACTTCCTTATTTTTGCACCCAAATCAAATGGGAAGGGTTTTTCCAAACGGAGGGAGTATAAAAATACTACCATAATTAGAATTATTATTAGTATTATCTAACAAAAAATATTTCAATTTCCCATTAATTTTCTCATTTTCAATATTTTGATTCATATCATATTTGTGTGGTTCAGAATCATTCTTACTATAGCTGATTTTTAACATTAATATAAACCGCAATCTTATATAAAATTCCTTTTTAAATTTTTGTGTACGTTTAAAAAATATTAGAATTTGGGATGAAAGAGCATGTAGTTACGTATATACATACATTATACATACTAGTATATAAAACAAAATGTACACATATATATTACTTATATTTTTTTGATACGTACCGTATTGCTATTGAGAAGACAAATGTGACTATTGGAATCAAATTGATGAAGTTTGTAGCATATGTTGCCGTTGTATCTCGAAGCCCATAATAGAAAAAGCCAATTGCTATAATTACCCTGCTTGCACGAATAACTAAGAATGATTATTTCTAAAATGTGGAGTAGTATAAATACTAGATCTTGCAAAAGCTTATTAGGTGATACTAAGGGGCTGTTTGTTTCAGCCTTTTAATGGTTCAGATGTCTGAATGGTTCAGCACTTAATGGTTCAGACTGTTTGTTTCAGCCTCTTAATGGTTTAGATGTCTGAATGGTTAAGAGATTTGCCTCTGAATAGTTAAGTATTATACAGAGTCTGAATGGTTAAGACCTCTTATCTGAATTGATCAGATATTTGCCTCTGAATAGTTAAGCAATATACTAGCTCTTAATGGTTCAGACCTCTTACTGGTTCAGCACTTAATGGTTCAGACCTCTTACTGGTTCAGCACTTACCCATTCAGAAGTTGCCAAACAGCCCCTAAGATTCATGTTCATTTTATGTATCTTACTGCATCAATATCACAAAACAACTGGATCTTTAAAAAAAAGAAAAGATCCACTTAAGAGTCCATAAAAAGTATAAAAATGTCCATATTTGACATATGGACCTTAGAACCATCTAAGAACAACTTGTTAAGCAATGCTCATCTAGCTTATATTAAAGAGTACGTAGTGATTCTGTGCACCCAAGGTCTACGCCTAATTTTTGAACCTTCTTCCAAAAGTTGTTGGACTTAGAACCTAATGTGAAAAAAACCATGTTTCACCCAAGGTAATATGCCTAATGCTAATGTTGATCTTAATCTTAATCCTAATTTCCTAACTCTAATCCTAATTTTAATCTTAATCTCTTAATTCTAATCCATTAATTCTAATCATAATCCTAGTCCTAATTCTTATCATAATCCTAATCCTCTAATCTTAATCTGAATCCTAATCTTAACCATAATCCTAATCATAATCTTAATCCTAATCTTAATATTAATTTTAGTACTAAGGAGTCTACTACATCAACAAGGTCCATATAATTGGAATGGACTTCAGGACCATGAAACTATATGCCTATATTAAATTTCATCGTGAACCTTAAATCATTGGATGAATTTATCCACGAATATATAATCCCTGTTTTATATTTCA